AGTACAGTGTGCCAGGAATTTAGAACAGTTATTTGAGCAAGATTGCCAGTTTGCGGGCCCCCTGCAATCTTGCCCCACTTGCACTATTTGGGGGGGGGCAATACAGCCATACATCCTGGTCATCTCGGTCTAAAACGTAAGCTAGTTAGTCGGCGAGTGGCCGAGGCAAGTGGGGCAAGATGAGCAAGTGGGGCAAGATTGCAAGATTCGCCAGATTTGCTCAAAAATTAATTGTTCTGAATTCCCGGCACAATGTAATTGTAGTAGCAATAGTCATAGTCATAGTAAAACTAATAGCAAGCTAAGAGGTCTGACGGCTTCAAAATTCCAAAACCCTAAACCCCTGAACCCTAAACCCCAAAAACCCCGAAAACCCGTAAAACCCCTAAAACCCCTAAAACCCCGAAAACCCGTAAAACCCCCTAAAACCCGTAAAAACCCCTAAAACCCCTAAAACCCCTAAAACCACCAGTTGCAGCGTCAGAGCCGCCTTGCCCCGGGCCGCAAAGAGCTTGGCGACGGCGGGAAGGAGCGGCTGATCCTCGGCTCGTGCTCGGCTCAGACTTCTGGTCATAACCATAACCATAAGAGGCATCATTGATCATACTAATCATAACAATACTAGTAGTAATAATGATAACAAAATGATAATAATAGTTATTATTATGATATGAATAATGATAATAATAATAATAAGAGTAGCAGAGCAGCAGCAGCAGCAGGAGTAGTAGTAGTAGTAGTAGTAGGAGGAGTAGTAGTAGTAGTAGTAGTAGTAGTCGTAGTCGTAGTAGTAGTAGCAGTAGTAGTAGTACTAACAATGCTAATAATGAGAATAACCGAATGGATTCTCATAGTTCAACCGGAGCATCAAGGGATGATGGTCCCGGGGTCTACCATCCTTCGTTGGCAGCCCTCGTAGTCAAGAATTTCATAGTTGAGGCAACCGTCACGGTCTTGCACCCAAGATGAAAGATACAATCTTCGCTGTAATGCGGAAGTTTCTGGTATCGGCATCCGCACAAATTCTGCACATGCCCGAAGGTCAAACGGTCTCGAGATGCTCAAACCAGTTCCTGAAGTAGGGCATCCCAGCTGCATGGCCCTGCAGGTAGTTCAACTCGCAGAGTTTCTCGCGCAGGCTGTTCAGAAGGACAGGGTCCACCTGGAGTTATGTAAGTTGGACACTTGAAGAAACACACCTCAAGCCACCGTCGGGTCCAAAGACCAGGCATGGATCGTCCAGCCGTGGCTGATGGACCATGATAGCTGATTGAACTTCTAACTACCTGAGACGCTGTAGCAGCTCTTACATTCAGGGCAGCGCGTCCCTCAATGGCCTCAATCTATCTTCCTATGGGTTCCCTTCTGCCATATGCTAGTGCCACCTGGCCGGCGCCAAACTCTGCAGCGCCCAAGTCCTCGATGGAGCTCCAGCCGTCTGCCTGCCTCGCTGGTTCTGGATGCGACTCAAACGAAGCCGGGGTTGTATCCCCGAGTGACACAGAATTCATATCTCCGGCAATTGAAGTGGCGACCGTAGATCGAGGCCAGCTACCCCTACTTTCGATTACAGGGAGGGACAAGTTCCCACCAGGCCACAGAACGATCTTCTTCGTGGGGCGTCTCTCCGCTGGCTCATCTGTCCGAAACCGCTCCACCTGCCCAATGCTATTATAACACAGTCAATATACTACAATCTAACGTCCTACAAGAAAACGTAATATCAATCTAATCTAATCTAATCTAATCTAATCAATCTAATCTAATCTAATCTAATCTAATCTAATCTAATCTAATCTAATCTAATCTAATCTAATCTAATCTAGTCTAGTCTAGTCTAGTCTAGTCTAGTCTAGTCTAATCTAATCTAATCTAATCTAATCTAATCTAATCTAATCTAATCTAATCTAATCTAATCTAATCTAATCTAATCTAATCTAATCTAATCTATGGATCTAACATAATCTAATCTAAAAAAAATGTGCACTTGCACATGACCTGGTTCCGTGGGCCCCAGACGCCCAAGCCTCAGCCACGGCTTCGAATGCCCGGGCCACGCCAGGCTCCGTGGCCAAGGGCAGCAGTGCCAAGGTGGCAACGCCTTGTGCCTTCAGCCGTTCCTTGGGGGGTTTAGGTTTTGGGTTTAAAGTTTAGGGTTTAGGGTTTGGAGTTTAGGCTTTCGGGTTGCAGGATGATGGCGGTCGGGAGTCCTAGAGTCGAGAGCTTCGAGGGATCGGGCAAGTTGGCTCAGAAAGCTCCCCCACTCATGCTGACCACACGGACTAGCAGATGGACCGCAGGAAGTTTTGCTTCTCGACTCGAGGCATGCGGTATAGAGGTCTAGGGTGCCCATGACGGGTCTTCGGACCTTCGGCCCAGCGTCCAGCAAGAACAGAAAGTCAGTGTCAGGGGCTGCAACTGCGATGGCGTCGACTCCGTCCTTTGGGTCACAAGCAGGCTGTGGAAGCTTTAGACTCCAGGCTGGGGACCTACTTGGCGGTTCATGGGACTTAGTAAGTAAGGTTATAAGCCCCCTAATTGGGGTTATAAGTATAGTTACCTTGGTTATAACCCTACTTACTAAGTCCCATGATCCTTTAAGTAGTGTGAAAAAGCGGAGCCGTGGCTGATCTGAAAGAAGTCTGAGCTTTGCAGAACCAGTAGACCCAGAGCGTCTCATGCTTTCCATCTCCTTTCATCTCTACCCAAAAACGCCCTTATGAAACCCCTATGCGAACCCTGTCAATACCTCTGCCTGGTATCTTACACGAATATATCCGAACGGGGGACCTGCTAGACGTCCTCTTATCTCCAGATACAAACCCTCTTAATTAAGGTGTCTGCGCCCTAAACCCTAAACCGCCCTAGAAGCTCTTAACTAACCCAAACCTGAAACCCTAAACCCCCCCTGAACCCGAAAAAAATCCTAAAAGCTCGATTCCCCGACACCCTAAACCCCAAACCCGAGAGCTCTTAAAGGACTCCCGGAACCCCCCAGGGACGGCCTCCCGAAACGCCAGCCTTGCCGCTTCGAAAGCCACGGCGATGTCGTTCGGATCCTCTCGTAATGAATTAGAATAGGATTCCTTTAAGGGATCCTTAAACGGTTTATAAGAAGTCTATGGCTTCAGAATTAGTTTAGGTATTTTTTTGGTTTTTTTTCCGGTATTTTTTTGTTTTTCTCTGTTTCACGCAAACAGTACCTAATTTGGAAGCTCCACACCCCGGCTGTGCGCTGGCAGCGAGGGTGTGGGTGGGGTGGGGTGGTGCGGGATGGGGTGGGGTGGGGTGGGCGGGGCGGGGTGGGGTGGGGTGGATT